CGGCCGCCGCTGCGGCTGCTGCCGCCGCCGCGCGGCGCGCCCAGCAGGGGCAGCACGCTGGCGACGCGTTTGCAGCCGTGGTGCAGCAGGCCAAACGCAGCTCGGTGGCTGCCGCCACAGGAACCAGCGGCGGCGCGCCGGGGAGCAGGAGGGGCTCGGCGCTGCCGGCCGTGCAGCTTCACAAGCTGGCGCAGCACTGGCAGCGGTCTGCCGCGGCCGTGGCTGGCGGGGCGGGCGAGCGGACTGCACGGGAGCGGCAGGCGGCGGCTGCCCGGAAGCAGCTGAGGTCTCAGTGGGAGGCAGTTCGGCGGCGGCTGCCAGGGGAATCACCAGCACCGGAACCGGCAGGCACAGAACAGCAGGCGCAGCAAGCAGGCGACGGGCAGGAAGCGGCGGGCGACGGGCAGGCAGAAGCGGGCGACGAGCAGCAGCAGGCAGAGGAGCAGGCGGACGACGGCCAGCCGCAAGCCAGTAGCAGCCAGGCGCAGGCCGGGGACGGTGCCGCCAGCAGCAGCAGCGGGAGCGCAGGCGCAGCGGAGGCGGCGGTAGAAGAGTCGTGCTGCCGGTGACGGCGGTCCGGCGATAGCCCTGCTCAGCACATGTTTGATGTGTCACATCTGTGCCTTGTAAACCAATGCTGGTGCCAGCTGGCATGCACAAGCTGGCACCGCCCTCAGCCGCGTGGGGCCCTTACAACAGAGCGGTCCAGGCGTTATGACACACGAGGCATGAAGAAAACTGGCGGGGCGGCGCCCCTGCAGCCCGCCAGCCACGTGAGGCGCGGCATGAGGGGTCGGTGCTGCTGGTGCTGCTACAGAGCTACGATGCTGAGGGGGCGGGCCCGGCATGCGGTGCGCCGTCGCTGGCCATGGGTCTGTTTGGGGGGCTGGCGTGTGTGGTGGGATGCCCAGCCGACGCGTCACGCCTCTGCAGCGGCGCCCTCCTTGCCGGCCTTCTTCTTCTTCTTCTTGTTCTTCAGGCTGCAGGCAGGGCAGAGGCAGGGGCAGGGGATGCAACAGCCAGTCGGCCCAGCTCCAGAAGCGTCCGATGCCTCACCAACTCCTGTCCCACTCACTCACACCGCTTCCACACACCACCGTGATCGCCATCACACACCCACACACACGCCACCACAAACCCACACAGGCCACTACGCACACACCGCACTACCCCCCCCCCCACCACCACACACACAGGCCACGACTCACAGGCCACCACACAGACACGCCACCCCCACCCACCTGGTGGCCAGCAGCGCCTTGATCTCCTCATCCTCCACCCCCTTGCTGCTCTGCAGCGGCTGCAGCGGCGCCGAGGTGATGCGGTCGCTGCCGCTGGGCATCAGCAGCACCGTGCCCTTGATCTGCGCACATGGCAGGCAGGGGGCAGGGGCAGGGGCAACGGGGCAGCAGCTCAGCAACACGCAGCACCACATCCAGGCGTGCCATGC